TCTGCTTTTATTATTAAAAGGGGTTCTTATAAGTAGAAGTGTCTCTTCAATGATATAAAATTTCTTCTTCTTTAAGATTAAATATAGACTGGGCACGGTGGCTCACGCCTGTAATCCCAGCACTTTGGGAGGCCGAGGGGGATGGATCACAAGGTCAAGAGATCGAGACCATCCTGGTCAACATGGTGAAACCCCATCTCTACTAAAAATACAAAAAATTTGCTAGGCACGGTGGCACGTGCCTGTAATCCCAGCTACTCAGGAGGCTGAGGCAGAAGAATTGCCTGAACCCAGGAGGTGGAGGTTGCGGTGAGCCGAGATCGCGCCATTGCACTCCAGCCTGGGTAACAAGAGCAAAACTCCATCTCAAAAAAAAAAAAAAAGATTAAATATAAAACTTTGGGCTGGGTGCGGTGGCTCACGCCTATAATCCCAGCACTTTGGGAGGCCCAGGTGGGTGGATCAAGAGGTCAAGAAATTGAGACCATCCTGGCCCTCATGGTGAAACACTGTTTCTACTAAAACTACAAAAAAATATTAGCTAGGCGTGGTGGTATGCAGCTGTAGTCCCAGCTACTTGGGAGGATGAGGCAGGAAAATCACTTGAACCCAGGAGGCGGAGGTTGCAGTGAGCTGAGATGGTGCCACTGCACACTCCAGCCTGGTGACAGAGTGAGACTCTGTCTCAAAAAAAAAAAAAAACTTTAATTAAAATTTTCAAGGCAATAAAGTTAAATTCTAATGCCTGGTTGGTGCAGTGGCTCATGCCTGAAATCCCAGCACTTTGGGAGGCTGAGGCAGGTGGATGACATGAGGTCAGGAGTTCAAGACCAGCCTGGCCAACATGGTGAAAACCCATCTCTACTAAAAATACTGCAATTTTCCAGGTGTGATGGTGCATGCCTGTAATCCCAGGTACTCGGTACACTGAGGCACGAGAATCGCTTGAACCTGGGAGGTGGAGGATGCAGTGAGCTGAGATTGCACCACTGCACTCCAGCCTGGGCATCAGAGTGAGACTCTGTCTCAAAAAAAAAAAAAAAAAAAAATGCCTTTCTGTAGTCAATGAAATGGACCTGAAAGAGGTATAGTGAATTTTAAAAAATGATGTACCCTTTAAAAAAAAGTTATTTTCCAAAAAATAAGTTAACTGAAATGTTTCTTCATTATAGGAGGCAAAATGTTCTTTTCTTTTAAATGTCAACTTTTATTTTAGATCCTGGGGGTACATGTGCAGGTTTGTTACATGGGTATGTTGTAGAATGTTGAGGTTTGGGATCTGAATGATCCCATCACCCAGGTAGTGAGCATAGTACACAACAGTTAGTCTTTCAACCCTTCCCCCAGCTCTTCCCCCTACTCCAGTAGTTCCCAGGGTTTGTTGTTGCTATCTTTATGTCCGTGAGTCCCCAACGTTTAGCTTCCACTTATAAGTGAGAACATGTGGTATTTGGTTTTCTGTTCCTGTGTTAACTCACTTAGGATAATGGCCTCCAGCTGCATCTATGTTGCTGCAAGGCACATGCTATTGTTCTTTTTTATGGCTGTGACAAAATACTTTTGAACAGTTTGTCAAATATAATGTGCACACGTTTATTAATTTGAAAAAGCATTCAGCCAGGGGAGGTGGCTCACGCCTATAATCCCAGCACTTTGGGAGGCCAAGGCAGTTGGATCACCTGAGGTCAGGAGTTCAACTAATATGGAGAAACCCCATCTCTACTTAAAAAAAAAAAATACAAAATTAGCTGGGTGTAGTGGAGCATGCCTGTAATCCCAGCTATTCGGGAGGCTGAGGCAGGAGAATTGCTTGAACCCAGGAGGCAGAGGTTGCAGTGAGCCGAACCGTGCCATTGCATTCCAGCCTGGGCAACAAGAGTGAAACGCCATCTAAAAAAGCATTCATTGTATTCTATTTTATAGTGAAAACACGAAATAAATAAATTAATTGACAGGGTATTTGTGTGTGTGTGTGTGTGTGTGTGTGTGTGTGTGTAGCTGTATCACTCCAAATACACACTCACAGATGCCACTTTATCTTTAATTCAGACAGGGGCTGGAACCAATCTTAGTTTCATATATGCCAGAACACGATTGGTACAGGGAGACTGCTACCATTAGGTGAATAATTCCGGAAACCTCTGACTGATATATTTGTAGCTCACCTCCAACATCCCTATCCCTTTCCCTGAGCCCTTTGAGACTCTCAAAGCTGTGATCCGGGTTGTGGCCATCAGGAGGCATCACAGCTATCTCCATTTTTGTCATTCTTCTTTCTTTCTTTCTTTTTTCTTAAAAAAAGGAGGACATTTTGCAAAGAGTGACAAACTACGATACTAGTTCTGTTTGAAAAATATATTTGTATTAAAGCTGGTCCATTGCCTGTGGACTCCAAATCTACATCACATTCACTGAATTATCTCTTCCCTCCTCAGTATAGGTTGTCCCATGCATGCTGTAGAGAGGTGCCTCACAGAGAGCCGGGCATTTAGCCTCCATTGCCCCTGTACAGGCTTCCTAGACCTCCTTCCTTTCAGTCATCTGTTCTTTAGGATACTATGGACACAGCTGCCCAGACACTGCTTTTATGACCCCTATCCTCTCTGTCACCTTTCTACAGCCCTGTCAGTGCTACCTGATGTTTCATGCCCTGGAGCATATGTTTTTACAGTCTTGTTTTACACCTATCAATTTTTTTCTTCCTAGCAAGGGAAGTGGATTTGGGTCTGCTCAGAGGCATGATGTTGAACAGCTTTTATTAGATTATGAAACATCCAAGAATGTAGAGAACATTCTGTCTCTAAAACTTTGAACTCAAGGCATATCAGAGAGAGATTTGCTTTCTTTATATGGATGTCTGTGTTCTCATTAGGAGAAACAATGAAAAAATGACTTTTCACAATACCTCCCTTAGCTCAGAGGCTCGGCCAGCCCCCACTTCTGTGTCTCAGCATTTAAAGGGCCATCGAAATCCCACTTCATGCCATATACTCTCAACAGGTTTTCTCATTGCTCCTTGGGACAGCGCTGTAAGGAAGATATAGTCAGTTCTATTTCACAGATAATCAAGCTCAGGCTTTCAGAGCCTAAATCACCTCTCCAGGTAAGTGGCAGGATTGGAATGAGGTTTCATCCCTCACCCTCCCTATAGGACTCTGAGTTACCCCTTGATAGAAGACGGGCTTCCGTGGCTTGAGAAATGGTCAGATTCTACTCTCCTGCTATCGTGGCCCCACAGGTCCTTACTCCACAACCCCTCTAGGTGATGAGGAAGACAAAGGAGGTGAAATCCTGCACTTAATGGCAAGAGACTGGGTGTGGGCTGCAAGAATTGGTTGATCCCATAAGCAGTGAGTGGGCTCAGGCAGAAGCTTAGGTGTTGGCCTTGGGACAGGTGAGCTGGAGAGAAGGAAAGTAACCTGCACTGAACTACTTTAAGCAAATGCACTCTATATTTCATCTCCTTTATCCTAGTGATATTCAAGGTACCAATGATTATGATCATTATTCTGATCAGGGTGCTGTCTTAAGAGGAGGTTGTGTAAATCAGGGAGACAACTTTGTTACCTCCTTACCGGCAGCTAACTCTGGAATTAATCTAAAAGTGTTTTTTTTCTCCATTTGCCCTGAAGCCCACAGAGAATTAGAAATGTTTTTCTTATCCTTTATTCACATGTTTGTTCTGTATTGATGAGTAATTAGAATGTTTCTCATTTTTTCCTTTTTAAAAAGATCTCAGCAATGCAATTCCAAATAACCTCTTACCTGGCTATTTTGTACGGGTGAACATTTTTCCCTCCGTTATATGCATAAACATCTATCCCTTGGGGCTTGACTTCAATAATTCAAACTCCCTTACATGTGTCTGAGCATTTTCATTTCTTTAACCATCTTAATACCTGTTGTAGTTACAATATTTAAATGTATTTATAATGATAAATGTGTTTCCATTTCCTTGATGTATTTGTTCCCTCCTCCCACCCTCATTCATACACACATGCACAGAGCCAGTTTTCACCTTTTTCTTTTGCAAATTAAAAAAATTCTTATTCAGTGTCTTCTACATTTAAATTTTGTCAGATGATGGTTGATAAGAGGATATTTGGATGGTTATATTTGCATTCCTTAATGTGTTGGTGAGCTAGAATGTATTTTCTTGTGATTATTGGCAATTTGCATTTCTTCATCTGTGAACAATATACATATTTTGTCAGTTTTGTGTTTTGTTATAGGAGCTGTGCATGTGTTAAACCTAAAATCCTTCACTGATCAATATATGTGTTATTTCAACACATCTTTGTTGGGTGAATATTATTTATGAGATACTCTGGGAAAATCCATGTCCTAGGTGTCTTTTCTGAGATCTCAGCTCTTATATTTATGGGAAATGTCCACCTGCAGCAAGAAAAGTATCAGTGCCCACCCAAACATGTGACTTGTCAAGGATCACATGCACAGACAGTTACACTTATTCTTAAACCCTGCATGGCCACAGAGTAAAAAGGATGTGTGGTGCATTATATGAGGAGAGCACCGGCTCAGGACTGTGATTTCTGTGATCTCTATACTAACAGCAAGGTTTTTAAAAATTATATAACACTTCTGAGTTTGCCTTTTCTCATTTGTAAAATGTAAACAATTATAGCTACCAAAGACAATTGTTCTGAGAAGCAAAAGAACAAAATATTTTAAGCGTCATACACAGTGTAGGGTACATACGGTACTCAACACATCTTAGTCCCCTTACTGTTCCAGACTCATCTTTTCCTTAAAGGAAATTTCTTTGACATAATCCAAAGGCATGGTTCCATGATAACCATCATATGGAAATATTAAGGGAATGTATAGGTTTTCATGATGAATTAACTGCTGTTTCACTATTCTGTGCTGGGTAAGAAAAAATAAAACAATCGCTGAACCAGTTTCCTAGGGTTTGTAAAAGAAAACCATCAAAGCCACCACCTCATCTCATTTTTTATGTTCTATGTTAATTTCTCAAGAAAACAGGCCCGGCATTGCCTCTACACAACCCTGTGGGCCTGGCTCAGGAGGGGGACAGGGCCAGCACGATGAGCACCCCAGGCAGCCCCGACCAGGCCTATGATTTCCTGCTCAAGTTCCTGCTGGTGGGTGACAGCGACGTGGGCAAGAGCGAGATCCTGGAGAGCCTGCAGGATGGTGCGGTCGAGTCCCCGTACAGCTACCTGGGGGGGATCGACTACAAGACGACCACCATCCTGCTGGATGGCCAGCGGGTGAAGCTGAAGCTCTGGGATACGTCGGGGCAGGGAAGATTTTGTACCATATTCCGCTCCTATTCTCGTGGTGCCCAAGGAGTGATCCTGGTGTACGACATTGCAAACCGCTGGTCTTTCGAGGGTATGGATCGGTGGATTAAGAAGATCGATGAGCATGCCCCTGGTGTCCCTAAAATCCTGGTGGGGAATCGCCTACATCTGGCATTCAAGAGGCAGGTGCCCAGGGAGCAGGCCCAGGCCTACGCCGAGCGCCTGGGTGTGACCTTCTTTGAGGTCAGCCCCCTGTGCAATTTCAACATCATAGAGTCTTTCACGGAGCTGGCCAGGATTGTGCTGCTGCGGCACAGGATGAATTGGCTCAGGAGGCCGAGCAAGGTACTGAGCTTGCAAGACCTCTGCTGCCGCGCCATCGTGTCTTACACACCTGTACACCTGGTGGACAAGCTCCCGCTCCCCATTGCTTTAAGAAGCCACCTCAAGTCCTTCTCCATGGCCAAGGGCCTGAATGCCAGGATGATGCAAGGTCTCTCCTACTCCCTTACGGCCAGCTCCACTCACAATAGGAGCAGCCCCTGCCAAGGGGAGTTCTTCTGCTCACCCCAGAGCCTACCCAAAAACTGCACCAGAAACAGCTGCAAAATTTCTTAAGGAAGGCAGCAAAAAGAAGGAAGCTGGAATCTCTCCAGGAAAAGCTCTGAATGGTTACACCTGGAAGATGGGAAGACATATTCTAGATTTGAGAAATACGTTTTCAGTTTCTCATGGGAGCCATGCTGCTTGGCAATGTGTGTGATGCCTTCTGTCAATAACAGCACCTTATGCAGTTTTATTTTCTATGTGGATGTGCATGAAGCTCTTGTTTTAGACATGTGTTTCTAAAGGGAAAATTAGTTCTCTGCTCAACTCTTGATAACATGAAATTTTGAATGTTACTTATAATCACACTGCAACGTTTCCCTTAAAATAACCGCTTTTGTAAGAATGGTGATATGGCAATGATGAGTATAAATTCAAGGGAATTGAGAAGCAATGATAGTGAGATAATTTAGAGTCATCGATATTACAAGAGGGGCCTTTTTGTAAACCTGCTTTTTAATGTCAAAGCACGAATTTATAAAACACTGCAGACGCACATAGAGATTATACATAACAGATCTGTCCAGTTTGTGCATGAAATAGATTTGATAAAGTTTTTATAAAACACTACAGATGCACATATATATGAGATTATATATAACAGATTTGTCCACTTTGTGCATGAAATAGATTTGATAAAGTTTTGCTATGTTATTTTACTACATTTAGGGATTAATAAGTGATTTATATGTATGTTTTTCTGTAAATCTATTTTTTTTGTACAAGATGTTCTACAAGCTATGAAGCTAAGGAAAGAATACACCAAAGATATCTCTAGTTATGTTGAATGTAGGCAACGTGGTTTCAGTGGATCAGTAAGAAAAAAGCCATTTCAGTAAGGAATGAAATAAGTACCTATTTAAGAAAATGTTTCTTAACAGTAAAAAAGGATATATATTTCTCTTCTGGTAAAATCAAGAGAAAAAGAATGAAAAATATGCATCATGTAACCCCACAAGATGAGGCTTTGCAGAAAAACAATGCAATACAACACGGTGGCAGAGGGGAGATGCGGGGCAGGCCCATTATAAGGCATTAGGTGAGTCATTTCCGTGGTGCTGGCCAGTTTGGGTTAATACCTCTCAGACTGATACAGAGGTTAATGAGATCTCATCTGGGAAAGCACTTCTGAGACCTTAGATGGGAAGGAAGGGAAAGTGATTTCCATGTAATTACTTTTCAGTTTACACTGTGGATTATTATAATAATCAATATTGGATGAACTGAGTAAATATAAGTCCTTGTACTCTTTCGTAATTGAGTGACCATTTATTTTTGCATTGTCATAGGGTGGTTGTAACATAACGTCCCACAGAAGGGCAGGATCTCTGGCCTCAGGGAGCCATGGGGACTCACCCTTCCTGAAAGCTGGTACTTTTCTATCTCATGAATTTCCCACAACATTCCTGGGAGGCAGAGGATATAATCTCTACACCATCCTGTAGCTAAAGAAACAGTGATGTTTGCAGGTTAAGTAACCTGGCTGGGGAGCATCCTGCCACTAAGTGAAAAGGCAAAGACCAGCACCCTATGTGCCCCCACACAGACTGACGCTGAGCTGCACATCACACCATAACCAAGAAAACCTTGCTTTCCTGCTGACCGGGGTCACTACTGAAATCTGTATCTTCAGCTCCGAAGCCAGGCTGCCAGTTCTGTCTCTCTTCTGAAAGACAGTCTTGTCAGACCTAAATTTCCACCTCTGTAGACAAGGGAGTGTCGGGGCCAGTGCTTTAGAAACTGGAGTCCCCAGACAGTTCTTGTATCAGGAAGAATATGCATTCTCAGAAGGACAGGGGTCATGCTGAGGATGAATACTTGAAGGAGCAGGCCCCAAACACATGCAGATCAGGGATGCATAGAGTCTTTAATAGAAATTACCAAATCACCTGGAAAGAGGTTGTACTAAATGGCATCCCCACCACCAATATAAAACAGGGTAGACTTCCCCGCATGCCCATCTCACTGGAATCCTGAATGGTTTCTTTTTATACTTTGATGATACTGTTGTACTGGACCGAGCATAGAAAGTCAACACCAAGACAAAAGTATGCCAAATTGCAGGGTTTATTGCTGGCAACCACGGAGGACTCACGTCTCTCCAACCCGTGGCAGAGAAAGAAGGGTGACAAGACCTTTTTATACCCGTAAAACCACCTTGGGAGTGGGGGTGAGGAGCGGGGATGGGGATGAAAGGCTTCAGACATTTGGAGGGCTAGTGGATTCTGTAAATCACCTCCTGGGCCGAGAAGAGGGTGGGGGGTGGGCTCCGGACATTCCAAGGGCCAGGGGACTTTTGTCATTCCGATTATTACTTAAGTGGTTTACAGAAGTCAAGATAAACATTAGTTTATACATTGTCTGGGTAGTGGTGGAAATTACATATCTTAGTTACTCATTACAAGTAGTCGGAGCCAAGATGGAATTAGCTTGGGCTGCTTACTCTGGTTATTACCGGTAAGCAAAGGCTAGCAACTCTGGCAGTTACCGATAAGAGAAGGTAAGCAGCTTTACCTCTTTGCATTCTGCAAAGCAAACTAGCAGTCTTATTTACAGAAGCCAAGGTTAGCAGTCATTGTGAGGAGAATGGGGTAACTTATTTTGGAAAACAGCTTTTGTATTTTATAAAATGGCATTGCTCAGGTTCCAGCTATAGCACAATACGACAGGTGGAAATTCTTTCATTGTCATTATATTTAATTTGATGTTCAGTTAACTTAAAAAATTCCCTAGTATACAAAATGCTCTGATACTCATCATTGCATTATATTTTTATTGCAGAATGGTCCAGTTTGATATGTAGCCTAAAAACAATGATCAACAGGTACATGAGCCTGCAGGTTCTCCTAGAGCTACTGCTGGCATTATGGTTCCAAGGTGTGTGTGTGTGGCTTCTGGGAGATCCTGATGGCAGTATGCTTGCCTAGAAGATTAGGAACATCTCTCTGTAATATTCGTTCAATTCAATATTAGAGAGGAGCTGGAATCTTTTAAATGATGCAAGAGCTGGACCACAACATGCTTCTGAGCAGGCTGTAATCCTGTCCCCGTGATGGAAAGCAAGTCTTTCTGTGACCTTACCTGCTCAAGTCAGGGTGGATCCCTCCAGGACATAAGGTGTGGTAGTTGGCCTAAATCTGCTTCTGAACACTGAAGCTGAGTGCTTCCATCTTGGTGACATCAGTTGCAGAGACTGGAGAAGCTGCATCTTCTCAGACACCAAAACCATGGGTTCAGTCACCTGTGTGAGGAACTCTGTGCTAGAAGATAAAATACACCTGTTCATCCATCCATCCTCTATCCATCCATCCATCCATCCATCCATCCATCCATCCATCCATCCATCCATTCATTCCCATAGTTAACAGGCATTAAGGCCAAACTCTACACCATCCCTCTGGTTAAGTTTTAGACTTCCTTAGAATTAGGAACAAGGAAGTAAGGGGGTTGTGGTGAACTCTGTTTATAGACTAAGAAGAGATCACGCCTTCTCCTTAATATTTCTATCCTAAGAGAGCCTCTTATCATTAATAATTTTAAAACACTGGACCCCTCTCGACATCCCTAGTTACTGTCCTCTCTACGTATATTCTCCTATTGCAACCAAAATTCTGTGAAGAATTCTCATTATGCAACTCACATCCCTCTGCACCTCCCTTCACCTCAGTCCTCGTTCCTCATCTAACGGTGCTTTGTTCCCGCACCCCTCCACTGAAATGAAAACCATCAAAACCAAAAGCCACCTCTTTGACCCATTTATAGATCAAGAGTGTTAAAATGAACATCTAAACGGAGACAAAGATTCCCCTCAACAACAAAGATTACATTGCAATGCTATATTTACCTAAAAGCTAGAGCTGTAAAATAGCTTCCATAGAGTCAGTCAGATAATGTGAAGGCTGTGCTACAAGAACCGTGCCATCGACTGAAGTGCAAAATTTCCCCAGCATATCCCATACTATTGCTTCAAATAAAAGGAATTTTGCAAATAGATTCACTGCATGTTGGCAATATTTTTATGATCATTTCAAGAAATTGTTTATTGTTTTATTTCTTTCTGAAGGAATTACTAAGTATGCAACGTAATCACCTGAAACTAAAATGTTGTTTCAAAATTTGTCATGGTTAAATATATTGCCTAAAGCATTGTCTTATTCTTTAATACGCCATAATTAGGTAATATAATGGTGGTGAAATGTAATAGCAGAGAGAGAGCAAACCCTTACAGTCTCCTGATTAGGTCAACATTATTTTACAGTACCAATACAAATCATAATGCTGGAATTCCTTTTGGAATATTTCCATTCAGTAAACTATCTCAACTATATGATAAGTGTACATGACTCCATACTGATATAAATAAGTGTTTAAAATGAAAAAGAAATGGGTCAGAGAAGACAAATTGTCACAATCAAATAATTATAAACAATATTTGTGGCTACCCGCAGTTCATAATGTGAAGTTTAATTCTATCCTCTACCTCCTAAGAACAGGGCTGACTTAGTGACTTACTGCTAAAGAGAAGAGTATAGGAATATAAAATAGTTGCCACACACTGGAGAAATTTGGCAAACAGTACCTTAACCAAGTGATGAAAGTTAACATCACCATTGATATCATATGGGTATCATGTAAACCCATATATGATGTGATAAAAAGGGCAATTCAGCTCTGTGGTATTCCTTCTGAAAACCCACAACCTCATTCTAATAAAGAAAAAAACACCAAGGTAAGCCTGTACTCCTCATGACATCAGGCTTATGAAAATAGTCTGGCCATTTCTCAAATGGTAAACAGGGAGTTACCAGATGACACAGCAATTCCATCCTGAGGTACATTGCCAAAAGAAATACGCCACATAAAAACTTGTACCTGAATGTACACAGGCTCATCATTCAAAATAGCCAAAGAATGGAAACCACGCAATTGCCCATCAATTGATACATGCATAAAATGTGGTATATTTAGCAATAAATATGAATAAGGTACTGATATATGCTGAAACACAGATTTTGAAAACATTATGTAAAGTGAAACAAGCCATATGCAAAACACCAAATATTGTTTGATTTCATTTATATACAATGTCAAAAACAGGCAACTCCACAGAGAAACAAAGCATATCTGTGATTGCCTAGGGCTGGGGGTGGGCACAGGAATTAACTGCATTCAAGCAAGAGGGGTAATCTTAGGGTGATGAAAACGTCTAAAACTCAGTTATGAAGTTCTACCTACAGCAATCAGACAAGAGAATGAAATAAATGACATCCAAATTGGAAAACAAGAAGTCAAATTATCCTTGTTTGCAGATGACATGATCTTATATTTGGAAAAACATAGACTCCATCAAAAAATGATTAGAACTAATAAATAAATTCAGTAAACTTGCAGGATACAAAATCAACCTACAAAAATCAGTATCATTTTTATATGGCAGCCAAAGTGAACAATCTAAAAAATAAATTAAAACCTAATCCCATTTACAATAGCCATAAATAAAATTAAATACATAGGAATTAACCAAAGAAGGGAAGGACCTCTATAATGAAAACTATAAAACACTGATGACAGAAATTGAAGATGACACCAGAAAATGGAAAAGTATTTCATGCTCATTGATTGGAAGAATCAATATTGTTAAAATGTCCATTCTACTCAAAGCAATTACAGATTTGATGCTATCCCTATCAAATACCAATGACATTCATCACAGAAACATAAAAGACAATCCTAAAATTCATGTAGAATCACAAAAGACCCAGAATAGCCAAAGCTATCCTAAGCAAAAAGAACAAAACTGGAAAAATCACAATACCTGACTTCAAATTATACTACAGAGCTATATCACCAAAACGGCATGGTACTGGCATAAAAATAGACACATAGACCTATGGAACAGAATAGAGAACCCAAAAACAAATCCACACACCTACAGTGAACTCATTTTCAACAAAGGTGCCAAGAACCTACAATGGGGAAAAGATAGTCTCTTCAATAAGTGGTGCAGGGAAAACTGGAAATCCATATGCAGAAGAATGAAAATAGACCCCCTATTTCTTGCCATATTACAAAAATTAAATCAATATTGGTTAAAGGCTTAAATCTAAGACCTCAAACTATGAAACTACAAGACTTTTAGGAAACTCTCCAGGAGACTGGTCTGGACAAAGATTTCTAGAGCCATCAAAAAGAATGTGATTCAGTCATTTGCAAAAACATGGATGGTACTGGAAGGCATTATGTTAAGTAAAATAAGGCAGGCACAGGAAGACAAACATTGCATGTTCTCACTTATTTCTGGGATCTAAAAATCACAATTGAACTCATGGAGATGGAGAATAGAAGGATGGTTGCTAGAAGCTGGGAAGGGTTGTGGCGGGCTGGAGGGAAGGTGGGGATGGTTAATGAGTACAAAACAATCAGAAGAATGAATAAGACCTAGTACTTGGTAGCACAATAGGGGGACAATAGTCAATACAAATTTAAGTGTGCATTTCAAAATAACTAAGAGTATAATTGAATTGTTTGTAACACAAAGGATAAATGCTTGAGGGGATGGATATCTAATTTTTAATGATGTGATTTGCCGAGACCAGCTTGGTTGTGGAGACCCCAAACCAGGAAGTGCTGAAGGAATTAAGAAACTGACAGATATAGAGAGCAAAAAGGTATGGGACAGAGAGGGGGCCTTAGCATTCCCAGCTGAGAGCCTCAAACAGACTGACCCACACATTTATTGAGAGCAAGCAAGTGATAATCATCATTTAACCAAAAGCATTCTTCGCAGGGAACAAAGCATTCTTTACTAGTGGCAAGAAACAGGCTCTGGCAGGCTTATCTACTGCAGCTGGAACATGTTGTTAAGGCAAGTGTCACTCATGCTATTGTTTATGGTCCTTCCGCTCTTGCCGGTTAGGTCAGGGAGATGTCACAGTGCTATAGATATTCTGTTTATGGCCAGTTTCTTTAAGGCCTGTTTATGCCAGAGCTTAGGGCCTGCTCTCAAATGCTCCCAACAGTGATTATTACGCATTGCCTACCTGTACCAAAATATCTCATGTATCCCCCAAAATACATATGCCTATTATGTACCCATAAAAATTAAAAATAAAAAATTTTAAAACCCTAAATTATGAAGATCATTGCCCAACTCTATACATTTACTAAAAATCAAAAAATTCTATCTTCAAATGTGTGCATTTTATTTCCCATAAATAATACTACAAAAAAGCTGTTAAAAAATATGATACTGCCCTGTTCTTCTGTTGTACCATAGTAGTGACCAAACTTTATCATACAAAGGCCATGATGTACATGTTTTATATAAACGTGAATATATGTAAAATGGTAGCTAGCTGTATCGCAGCCCTGCTGACTCTTTGTCATGTGTTCCTCCAAGCATTTTCCCCTCCTAACACCAGCCCACATGTTACTTTGGGTTTTACTTGTGTGTAAAATTTGATTTTCATCTGATAATTTTCACATGTTCCAACTGTGGCAGCGGCTGGAGAGTGGGTCCACAACAAAGTATAGGGCATTAAGTACTACTGCTTTCTTTGCTACCCTGTGTGTTTTCTTGCATGACTTCACTTACGGAGTCTAAATAGCCTACCTTTATGGGTGTCGGTGTGGCAATATTTATCAAAAAACTACATATGTACACACCATTTGTACCAACCATTTCCCTTGCACAGGTTTATCCTCAGAATGTAGAGAAGGATGTGGATAAGGATATGGTAATAAGAACTGTCATTCTGATAATTCCCTTCCTTTACTTCTGGGCCTTGTGAACCCTAAAAGAACCAGTCCCTCAGGATGAATCCTGGGTGTTTAACTGGGCCTAAATTCAAATGAGAGCCAAGTGGCTATTTGCTGACTAGAGGTCACACATGACTTGGAGTACCCAGAAAACCTGCAAGTCTGCTTAACTTTGGGATTTTCATAGCTGCCTATTCCTGTTTATGCTGCTTGAACCAAACAATAAGTTTTCACCTATGTCAACCATTCGGAACTAAGGAAGTTGGAATCCTTCATTTGCATAAGTTGACCGGAGTGGGAACCTGGGTGGGAACTTTATTCACAAAAGACAAACCTTCCCTTTGTCCTCTGGAACACACCTTCATTTTATACTGAAGGCTACATCTCCCTGATTTGCAAACTATTCACTAGAATAAAGTCTCTTTCCTCTAAATTCCTTTTCAGAAAACTTTTGTTCTCAGTCTGAATTTAGGAAGGGAGACCAAATGAGACGCAAAGCCAT